GTATGAAAAGCTACATGTATCGGCCTAAATACATCCCTAATTAGAATATCCATTTTATATTAGGAAACAAGATCCAATAAATAAATACATTATGCAATAGCTATATAACATTCCATTCTTTCCATTATTGGTCCTCACAACATTGTAAATTATGTACTTCTATGCACGACATATAAAAATTCTGAAACATGGACCATCCTTTCAGCTTACCCCGTGAAACTGAAATGCCAAAAAATCTCGTTGGCCAAGAAAGAACAATTATAACAGATTCCTTGTGCTTTGGTTCCATACCAGACCTCGTATAAGACAAATGTTTTGTTCCCAACAAATACCATAACCCCCGGAACACTTCATTTTTTTCTTTTGCCAAAAAAAAAAAATAAATAAAAAAAATTAAAATTCTCTCTCTAACACACAATGATCTGGTGAAATTTGGGTGTTTTTAGCCCTTTGGTGGTGGTGGACTGGAAGTGCCACCTGCCGGAGATTTATAGTTAGTTCGTTGACCAAAACTAACTAATATTCTTTTTTTCCTTAAAAAAAAATAAAAATAAAAACTCTATTTTTGTTTTTTCCTCATTATTTATTTTTGCCTCGTCCATACAATAACATTGTACGGTGCAGTGGCTGATAAATGACACGTGTCTCCTCTGCAACTAATTTCATAATTTTCGGTCCATTCCGGTTCCACAAGTTTCAACAGGGCGTCGGCTGCAATCCTATTTCCTTTTTTTTTTTCTTTTTTGACAAATCACAATAAAAAAAAGGAGATAAAAGAAAAAAAAAAAGAAAACATAATAGGCTGGATAGGGAAAAAAGGAGAAAAGGAAAAGAAGTAATTACATAATTAGAAAAAAAAAAGGGAAAACCGAAAAAAGAATGAATGAGTTTTTTTTTTTTTTTTTCCTGCGAATGAGTGAGCTTCGTTTCTATGTAAATTGTATAAAATGAGTTCCCACTTCCTAGCAAACACACAAAAAAAAAAAAAAAGAAGAAGGAAATTTTCTATAAAAAAAAATAAAAAAAGAAACTTCCGTTAAAAGAAATAAAAAAAGGAAACAAAGAAAAAAGAAAACACAACGCGTTGTCTCTAAGGAAACTCAAAAGGTTATTTTAACTTAATTATCATTGTACATATACTTTTTTTAGAGGTAAGTTAAGAAACAAACAAATCTAAAAGGGTAGGTTATTTTGCATTACGTTGATAATATTAAAATCCATTTTCACAGTTTAGCAACTCCATTGTCCCTTTTCATTCAATATATATATATATATTTTTTTTTTTTTTTCAAAGCAAACACCAATTATAATAGAGAAAATGAGACAAATACTCTTTAAAAATTTATTAGTCAAATTTTTTACAATTTACTCTTGATTAATAACATTTTTAGTCAAATGACTATATACTAGTAAAAGAGTACTAATTAAGAATAAAAAGTAAAAATCAAGACACACATATACTCTTCTTAAAAGTAAATTATGTAATTTTCTCATTACTTACTTACACTACGCTACCCCATTACCCCAATATCATAGTTATTATCATCTTAAGAAAATTAGAACCCAATAGAAAAGAAACAAAAATAATGAACTATTAAATTTAGAAATTGTCTTAAATCTACCATCCAAATCAATTATGTATGTGTAATTTTTTTTTATATGTTCACGTAACAACGTTTGTATTGAGTGTTACACAACACATAAAAAAACATACAATCAAACAGTTTCACACATATATACAAAAAAAAATTATATTTATCAAATTATATGGTTGTCGGACTTAAGATATTACCATTAAATTTATATGTTCATATTATACGAGAACGGTAGAAAATGAAAGGACTTATAAAGGAGTAGAAAACTATAGTTTGTTTTTAGGAGAATCTTACCCCATTATTTTCCATTTTTTCAAATGAAAACCAAGGTAAAAATACTAGTAAACCAATTAAAACACAAAAGAAAAAAAAACACACACACACAGAAGAAAAATAATGCTCTCTGAATACAAAAAAAAATAAAAAATAAAAAAAAAATTGTAGTGTTTAACCGAAGCTTCGGCGCCGCCTCCAAGCGCGTTGTCGAGATTCCGGCCCTGAAGTTTGGTCTCCGGATTCGTCTCGACTAGGGCTGTAAGAAATCACCCCGAACCCAACGAACTGGGCTGACCCTACTCGAAAATCACGGGTTTCTAATTTTTTATTTAATTTTCAGTTTTAATTATGCCTAACCCGCACTGCGCGGGTAGGGGCGCGGGGTGGGGTTACATGAACCCGAGGTAACCCTACCCGGCCGAACATGTTCAAAGTAGGTAAAACAATGTCCAACACTTCAAATTCTTACTTTCATAAGTTTATGGACTTTATGCATTTAAACTGTTAACTTATTTATGTTTTGGATTCACGGTTTGTGTAAAAAATGCTTGTATGCCATAGTTGTTGAATTAGGACATTCTTTATTTATATTGGAAGTGTTTGATTTCAAAGTGAGTGTTTTAATTGTTCACCTTGTATTTAGACCCCCTCTTGAAGGAAAGACATGTTCTGTTTGATAATGATTTCTTCTGTAACAAGCACAGATTAATTGACTAAAAAGTGATCATGTGATCCTTAAGATCACCAACCCGAGTAACCCGACCCTACCCGAGGTCACCCGAAAGGTTGCGAGTTTGTAGACTTAAGAGAGTGTCGCGGCCTAAAATTTTCTCAACCCACACTGGTCGGGTAGGCTCAATTTTTCGGCTCAACCCTACCCTACCCGGCCGATTTACACCCCTAGTCTCGATGTTGGCTTTCTCATGATGGTGGCTTTGTATGGAGCGACATATCTGTTAGTGTGGATCTAACTTGTCTTGGAGGTGGGTTGCTTTAAGCTTGGACCGCTGTTTTCAGCGTGTTCGTCGGTGGGAGGTTGCACTCCCATGGTGTGTTGATTTGCATGGTGGCGAGATTTTCTAGGAGGCGGCAGTTCCGTTCTTCGTTGATGGTTGAAGTGTTTGTTGCAAACGTCCCCTCCATTTTGCCATAGTCCTCCTATAGTCCTCCACCTCACATGGGTGTGCTTTCCTTCTGGGATGATTCTGCTCAGATCTGACTTCCGTTTCACAGCCGATGGCTTACTACCGGTGGATCTTTCTTTTGTTTATTTCTAATAAGGGGTTGATATTTTTGCTCTTTTGGTGTGTTTTCTTGTTTTACTTTGGTGTTTTTGTTTCAGTAATAGCAGAGATGATGTCCTTCGCTTGTGTCTCCCACCCGTTTGTAAACGGTGTTGTGTATGCTTTTTAGCTAAAGTTCCTCCTATGTTGTGGTGTGATTGTCTCTCTTATGTGGAGTTTGGTATTAGTCGACTAGGCTTGTTGAATGACTGCTTCGGTGTTGTTTAACGAATAATGGTCAATCTCGAAATTTATGTGCCGAACAAGTCTTTCTCCATTTAAGTGTTGATATTTGTATTCACTTCTATGCTATTTTGGTCTTTACTATCTAATCATTAATTCAGGGTAAAATTTCTTTATATTTGAGGCTATTTGTGTCTTGTGTAATTTTTTCCTTGTGAAATGAAATTTCTCATTTAAAAAAAAATAATGCACACATGAACTTGGAGGAGTTTGTGTATGGTGTTTGAGAGTGTTTGACCCGTCCAACCCGTTCTGAGTCTTCTCCACGGCATGACAGCCGTATTATTAGATTTACAAAAAAAAAAAAAAAAAAAAATCCTAATTTGTCTTTAACATTCTCTCTCTCACTAAATCTAATTTCCTTTTAAATCTAACTAATTAATAAAATCATAGAAATAGTAATAGCAGTAATTTACTACTGGACAAACTTTCCATAATAACCTTTTAATTTATTACTCGTTTAGTTGGCGTTAGTTTTCTTTTATTAGTGCTAATACAATTAAAATTTACCAATTTTTCTTAGATAATTTATACAAATGGTTCCTAATCTCTTTAATAAATGACAGTTTAATTTTTAATATTTTTTTAATAAATTGACCTTTAATTTTTTTAAACGGGTGTAATTTAATTATTTTCATTAAATTTTTAATAGATTCATGCATGTTAACATCATGTGTTTTTTTTTTTCAATTAAAAGACAAAAATACCATCAAAACTTATTAAAAATTTGACGAAAAAAATTAAATTACACCGATTTAAAGAGATTGAAGTCAATTTATTAAAAAAATTAAAAATTAAATTGTCATTTATTAAAAAAATTAAAAACTATTTATATAAATTACTCTTTTTTTTTCGAAAATTTCTCAAAATAATTAACGAAACGAAGGTTTACGGCAACGAAATAATAAAAAGACGAAAGACTTTCTCAGAGAGAGAGAGAAAGAAAGAATAGTCAGTCATTGATGAGCTCCGAAGCTTTTCCCGCGAAACTGAAACTTCTTCATTCAATTCCCCAACAACGCCTAAGACCTTTCTCAACACTTTCCTCTTAAAATCCGAACGAAAAATTTCATTTTCCTCCACATTTTCCTTTCTTGTTTTTCATTTCCCCCCCTCAGAAATCCGTTGATTTTGGAGAATTTTCCTCCCAATAACGCAAATGCGCGTAATTGTGGCTAGTGTGCGACGAGTCAGACCGCGAGATAGATCCAAATCTTCGTCTTCATTCTGACCTTTCGCTTATTTATCTGACTTCCTTCAAAGTACTAATTCGAACATGGAAATATAGGAATTTTGTCGTTGTTTTAGGGCTTCTAGAACCTTTTCCGATTGTCATTTATGGTTCCGAGGCTTAGCCAGAGCAGTATTATCAGTTTCTGAGTTGTTTTCCTTTGGCTTTTATGCGGAGATTACACTTGTTTTTGTTGTTGTTATGATTTCGTTAGAAATCTCTTACATTGTTTAAACCAGCGTTCTCTTGAATTTCTTTCAAGCTTGTCTCCCAAAATTCATACAAAATACGTACATATACATATATAGATATATAGATACACTATTTTCTCTAACCAATTTTCCCAAATCTAAGCATTTTTTGGCTGTTTGTCTTCAAAAGTTTGAAATTTTGAAGAGGAATCAAAAGAAGCAGTTATTTTCAGCGAACTATTTTGCTAATTTACTCTTTTGGGTAGTTCTAATTCCACTTAAAGAAACAAAAGACCATTAATTTATTAGAAAATGAGGAGAAAGAAGCTTCGTTTGAGCAAGATCTATTCGTTTAGATGTGGGAGAGCATGTTTCAAAGAAGACCATTCTCAGATTGGAGGGCCAGGATTTTCAAGGGTGGTTTATTGCAACGACCCAGATTGTTTTGAGGCTGGGATTCGTAATTACGGTGATAATTATGTTAGTACTACCAAGTATACACTTGCCACTTTCTTGCCAAAATCATTGTTTGAGCAGTTTAGGAGAGTGGCCAATTTTTACTTTTTGGTCACTGGGATTTTGGCCTTTACTCCACTTGCTGCTTACACGGCTGTCAGTGCTATTATTCCTCTGATTATCATTGTTGCGGCGACCATGATCAAAGAAGGTGTGGAAGATTGGCGGAGACAGAAGCAGGTACTTAGGTTTTTGTTTCTTTTTTTTTTTTGTTTTTTGTTTTCTCTTTATATATATATATATATAAATGTTTTTGTTGTTTTTTTTAGAAGTTACAACATGGGTTTTTAAGGTTGTTATGTTGTTATCTGAAGTGATTTGTTTTAGTTCAAATGGATGTTGTGAATTTTGGTTTTGAGGTTTGGTCAAATCATTCAAACGGCTGAATAAACAAATACAAACGGTAAAAACTAGAAAGTCCTTCAAATGGTTCCTTTTGTTGTAAGAACTGAAATTGGCTTTATATAGGTTTTTATATTTTTTTTATGTGCTTGCGGTTAGTTGTAGTATAAATTGAAGGGGATTGTTATCGTAATAAAATCTGCAGAAAGATAATGAAGGAGTTCAAGTCATCTATTTATTTTCTTGATGAGATTGTTTTGATCATACGATGTGAACTTTGAGATATCTGTTGGATTATATGAGCTATGTATCTTTCTCCTTACAGATAAGATTTTCTAAGATATTTAATTTGGATCGTTTTCGAAGAATGTATAAACAATATTTTTGCATATTTTTTGGTGGGTTTCTTTTTGAGGTTGTTTGAATAGATGATTTGAGCTCGCAGTAGTACTGGTTAGAATGTATGAGCTCTTGTACATTGCTGAATTTGGATTATCAAATTTGGTGAACATCTTACTTCTAGATATTTAGCTGATGCAGATTTCTCTTTTACCTATCTAAAATATGCCAAGAGTTACAATCCGGACAATTTCCTAGCCTAAAAATTTCTAAAATTTTTTCTTGTTCATGTGTTCTTTCTGGTGAACTTTTCCACCTTGGCATATTAATTTGTTTGACTGGAATTTTTTCCCAGGACATGGAGGTGAACAACAGAAAGGTCAAAGTGCGCAAACATGATGGCACATTTGGTTATACTGAATGGAAGAATCTGAAAGTGGGAGATGTAGTGAAGGTGGGAAAAGATGAATTTTTTCCAGCAGATCTCCTTTTGCTTTCATCCAGTTATGAAGATGCAGTATGCTATGTTGAGACCATGAACCTTGATGGAGAGACAAACTTAAAATTGAAGCAAGCGTTGGAGGTAACTTCATCCTTACATGAGGATTCTAACTTCCACGATTTTAAGGCTGCTGTTAAATGTGAAGATCCAAATGTAAATTTGTACTCTTTCATCGGAACCTTGGAATTTGAAGAGCAACAATATCCCCTTTCTCCTCAACAACTCCTTCTCAGAGACTCTAAACTCCGAAATACAGACTACATATATGGGGTTGTTATATTCACTGGTCATGACACAAAAGTGATTCAAAATTCTACGGATCCCCCATCAAAGAGAAGCAAACTTGAGAAGAAAATGGACAAAATTATCTACTTTTTGTTCTCTCTTTTGTTTTTGATGGCATTTGTTGGGTCTGTTTTCTTTGGTATTTCAACTAAAGATGACTTAGAAAATGGGGTGATGGAAAGATGGTATCTTAGACCCGATGATTCTACAATTTTCTTTGATCCTGAGAAAGCACCAGCTGCAGCAATTTATCACTTTCTGACAGCGCTAATGTTGTACGGTTTCTTCATCCCAATCTCCTTGTATGTGTCAGTAGAAGTTGTCAAAGTTCTTCAGTGCATCTTTATCAATCAAGATATAGAAATGTACTATGAGGAAGCAGACAAACCAGCTCATGCCCGTACCTCAAATTTGAATGAGGAACTTGGCCAAGTTGATACAATACTTTCTGATAAGACTGGAACCTTGACATGCAATTCAATGGAGTTCATCAAGTGTTCTGTGGCTGGAACAGCTTATGGCCGTGGTGTCACAGAGGTCGAGAGGGCTATGGATAGAAGAAGTAATTCACCTTTAGTTCAGCAAAATAATAATGGATCTAACCCTACAGATGACTCAACTGACAACAAGCCACGCATCAAAGGCTTCAACTTTGTGGATGAAAGAATCACGAGTGGCAATTGGGTAAACGAGCCACATGCAGATGTCATCCAGAAATTTTTACGTCTGTTGGCACTTTGCCATACTGCAATACCTGAAGTAAATGAAAATACTGGGAAGATCTCATACGAGGCTGAATCACCGGATGAAGCAGCATTTGTCATTGCTGCAAGAGAACTTGGTTTTGAATTCTATAAAAGAACACAGACCAGCATATCACTTCGCGAGTTAGATCAAGTGTCTGGCAAGAAAGTTGAAAGGTCAGTATTTTACGATTCTGTGGCTTACATAGAAAGCATCATATCACACTCTATTAATGCCACTGGCTTGCATCTGTATCACCATGTCATTTGGATCCTTACTTTGCAGGCCCTTTTACTTAAAGTACTAGGTTATTCTAAGTAACTGCCAGATGAGCAGTGTTTTTATTTTATATGGACTATCTACTATGCTTGTTATTTTTTCTACCTTGAAAGTCGCAACCCAGTCTGGAGTAATTTTGTTTAAGCCTTTTGGGTGTTATTGATAGGCGCTTTTGGATTACTTAGAAGTTGCATCCACTCAACTTTACATGTGATAACTCCTATATTGCCTATACATTGTTGATAGTATCCTAGTAAAAAAACTGTGGTTGGTTTTGGTGAATTTTGTTTTTATTTTTTAGAGTCGTTGCGCGTGGTGCGATAGTAAACTGGTCCTCTTATCTCTATATGTCCATTCCCAGCATCTATAGAGGTATTTGTTTCTCTTTGAGACATGCTTAACCTGTTAAAGACTGTTCTCATCAAAGGAGTTTTTCTTTGCAGAGTATACAAACTTCTTAATGTTTTAGAGTTCAACAGTGCAAGGAAACGGATGTCTGTGATTGTTGAAAATGAGGAAGGGAAAATAGTGTTACTTTGCAAAGGTGCCGATAGGTTCGTGATTAGCCATCTTGAACTTTGGATTTATAAATAGAAAAAGAAGGAATTAAGGAAAAAAAAAAAAAAACCTCAATGCTCTATAATTCTGTGTTATTTTGAATAATCACCTTAACTCATTTTTCTTTGCAGTGTCATGCTTGAAAGACTGGCCAGTAATGGTAGGAAGTTTGAAGAAGCGACAATGGAGCATGTTAATGAATATGCTAATGCAGGCCTTCGGACCCTGATACTTGCTTATCATGAACTTGATAAAGAAGAATATAAACAGTTTGAAGAGAAATTTTCTGAGGCCAAAAATTCAGTTAGTGCAGATCGAGAAGCGTTGATTGATGAAGTAACTGAAAAAATTGAGAGGGATTTAATTCTTCTTGGTGCAACTGCTGTAGAAGACAAACTCCAAAATGGGGTGCGTTGGAACATGCTAAGGTTATTAATAAGTCGAAGTATACAGGATATGGAACCTAGAAATAATATTGTTTCTTGTTATGTTTGTCAGGTTCCTGATTGCATTGACAAGCTTGCCCAAGCTGGAATCAAAATTTGGGTTTTAACTGGGGACAAGATGGAGACTGCCATTAATATCGGGTATTCTCTCTAGTTATGAGATTGGATTTTACTTTATAATTGCTACTTCTGTCCGAAAACATTGATTTTGAAGTTCTTACTCTCTGACTCTCAATTATGCAAATTTGCAGCTTTGCTTGTAGTTTACTTCGGCAAGGAATGAAACAGATTATAATTAACTTGGATTTTCCAGAAATTCAAGCACTGGAAAAGGCAGGAGAAAAGGCGTCTATCACTAAGGTAGTTTATAGTGAAAAGAACATTTTATGCCTGGACTTGTGAAAACTGTAGTACGAATCCTTGTTCTACTACAGTGGGGCTGGCTAACTGACATACTTCCAGCATGATTACTTAATTTTTTTTCTTTTTCCTTTTCATTTTCCTCTTTTGTAAAGGATTTCAAAATTATTTTTAATATTTTTAGCAATGGAAACTTTTTGCACTTGTATTTGATGGGATGTTGCCAATTCATATTGAAGGCGTCAAAGGAGAGTGTTGTCCGTCAGATAAAAGATGGGAAGGCTCAAATTTCTACAGCTAGAGTGGGATCTGAGGCATTTGCTTTAATCATTGATGGGAAGTCACTTACTTATGCTTTAGAGGATGATATGAAGAAGATGTTTCTAGAGGTTGCCATTGGTTGTGCATCTGTTATTTGTTGCCGCTCATCGCCGAAACAGAAGGCGCTGGTAGGTTACATTCTTCATTTCTAATTTACTTTCTGAAAAAATTTATGAGTTATAATTAGTTTTAAATGATGGCTTTTAATTTTCCCTTTAAGGTTACAAGACTCGTGAAATCTGGAACTGGAAAAACAACATTAGCAATTGGTGACGGTGCCAATGATGTGGGAATGCTTCAAGAAGCGGACATTGGGATTGGTATCAGTGGTGTTGAGGGAATGCAGGTGTTTAGCAGACTATTCTGTTTTGTGAATTCAGCCAAAAGTCACATGTTCACCAAGAAATAATTGCTTATGATCTTTACTTTTAATTCAGGCTGTAATGTCAAGTGATGTTGCGATAGCACAGTTCCGATATTTGGAGCGCCTGCTACTTGTGCATGGGCATTGGTGTTATAGACGGATTTCTTCAATGGTAAGAGTTTTCTCAGCTATATGAATTTAAACAAACGGATTTCAAAATCTGAACAAAATGACAATGTTTTAACCATTTTCATTATGAAAGACCACTTTGATGCCACAAGAATCTGACATATTTATTTCTCTGTTGGCAGATATGCTATTTTTTCTACAAGAACGTCACATTTGGTTTCACTCTCTTCTTATACGAGGCACACGCATCATTTTCTGGGCAGCCTGCGTACAATGATTGGTTCCTGTCACTTTATAATGTTTTCTTCTCATCACTTCCAGCGATTGCTATGGGAGTCTTTGACCAAGATGTATCTGCACGGTTTTGCCTCAAGGTAGGTTCTCATCTAGCATTTTACATCAAAATGCATTTACATTTGATTGCACAAATGTTTCCTTTTGATCCAGAATTGTTGTTAGCCCTTAGTTAACGAGTTTAAGTTAGATACTATAAGGGGGAAAGTGGTATTTTGCAATTGGATGGGCCACTTATTTGGGTTACCAAAATCCTGGAAAAGAAACGGTCAAAAATCAATGAACAAGGCTGATATTAAATGTTGGTTTTCTTGCTAAACTCTAATGGGATGTTTGCTTCTTTCATTGCAGTTTCCTCTGTTATACCAAGAAGGGGTGCAGAATGTCCTTTTCAGCTGGCGCCGAATTCTAAGCTGGATGTTGAATGGGTTAATCAGTGCTGTAATAATTTTCTTCTTCTGTACTAAATCATTGGAACTACAGGCATTTAATGACGATGGAAGAACGGTTGGAAGGGATATCTTAGGGGCAACGATGTATACGTGCATAGTTTGGGTTGTCAACTTGCAGATGGCACTTGCCATATCGTACTTTACTCTGATACAACACATTTTCATCTGGGGTTCCATTGCTTTCTGGTATATTTTCCTCTTGATATATGGAGCCATGTCTCCCAGTTTCTCCACCACTGCTTACAAAATCTTCATCGAAACGCTTGCCCCCTCTCCTTCCTACTGGGTGGTCACGCTCTTTGTGGTGATCTCAGCTCTAATTCCATATTTCTCATACTCAGCAATCCAAATGCGCTTCTTTCCCATGTCTCATGAAATGATACAATGGATAAGGTATGAGGGGCGATCAAATGATCCTGAGTACTGCGATATGGTTCGACAGAGATCCATACGACCTACCACAGTTGGCTTCACAGCTCGTGTAGCAGCACGGAGTAACTGATTGAAAAATAAAATGCAGAACTGCTCATGAAGCTTGGAAATTCGGATGGTGGGCTGTCAACAATTACAGGTCAATGAGTAATTGCTTGGAAGTCAGATTTGTCCCTCACTCTTTTACATGATTGTGTATTTGTGTTGAATAATGGGAGAATTTACATGGCAGGCTCAAAACATGTCTCAGAGCTTATAGTTGCTAGATGACTGTACAGTTGTATTATTCAGCTGTAGCATATATTAGATGGTTAGGAAAGCCTTGAAATCTGTAAATTTTTATTCTTTGCCTTATTCGCTCCAAATTTTATTTACTAGTCATGCAATGTGTACCATTGCCGAGATGTATGTAAAATAGAAAAGAGAAAAACATAGTTGGAATCAGGTAGTGCTTGTTTTATGCGACAAAAAATGAAAGCAGATCTCCATTGTTCAGATTAGTGTGTTATTTTCACAAGTCACAACTCAAACTTGGTTACGTAAGAGAAAATAATGTAACAAAAAAGTTGAATTTGAATATTTGTGAGAGAAAACACCGTAGCAAGAGAATTCTTTTGCTTGAGTTGTGAAAAAAAAAAAAAAAAAAAACAAGGTTGCAAGAGATTATATTGACCACCAGCGGGAGATGACACTTCTGGAAATTGTAGTCAATCTGTACACATAATGGAGCTATGGTGCCGTTTGGTTTAGTTGTGGAATAAAAATAGGAACAGAATCGGACAAAAATGCAATGGAAACAATAAATGGTTTTTGTTTGGTTGGAGTATGAAGTTATTCAAATAAAAATGCCCTTAACATAAAATAATTAGCTAAAAGATTGTCAATTTTTTTTATTGAAGTAGTTATTTAAGTGTAACAGTAAAGATAGAATTTTTTTTAATAAATTTACAAAATATTTATTAAGCTAAATATTAAAGATTTGAATTTAATGGTAAAATAATTAGTTATTTTATGTGATTGGCAAAAAGAAAAGACAAGTCGAAAATTGAAAAAAAAAATGACAACCTTAAAGCAATAATTCCGTAAGAAAGGGTGACCATACAAAGAAAAGAAAATTATTAAGCGAAAAAAAAGAAGAAAATTAGAAAACGATGATAACCTGCTAAACGACAATACAATCATGACACGACAACATCTTCAAACGGGCATCAAATAAAAAAAATCCGGAACCTATAACTAAAACGATATGAATCTTATCGAAACGCCAATGTCATCTGAAAACTAGAAACACTGAACAACAAGGACAACATACAATAACAAGGACAATATAGAAGCCAACAACAAACAATAACAAGGACAAGATAGAAGTCACTAACTACCAAAAAAAAAAGAAGTCAATCATTAACACGGGGAGTTTCTTTCCTTTTCTGGATCAAATAGTATCACCCTACAACTATATAGTATATAAGCTACCTTTTAAAAAAAATCCAAACGTTTTTTTTTTTTTTAAATAGAGCACAGTACTATATATATTTTTGGTAGTAGTCTTGTAGTTCTTTGAATATATTTATTCCCTATTATGCTTAATTATTATGACACATTTTATTATCCTTAATCCTGATTCAAATTGCTATTGCTTCCTAATACAAGTCAATAATACTCGACATTATTTTTAAGATTGAGTTATCAGATATCTACTAAGAACAAGATAATACGATAACACCTTATTATTCATCAGAATATCTACTAAGAACAACATAATACGATAACGCCTCATTGTCCCTAAACATAATACGGTAATTATTTTTACCTATTCCCCTCATTGTCCCTAAACATAATGCGGCAATGCCAACTCAATCCTTCGTTCAACTCAATAAAACTATGATTTTGATAAGCAATGAATTATGAGAACTTGAACCATCAAAATTGATGTTTTAGATTTGGTGAATTAATTCATTTTTTTAAAGAATTTAAGGGGAAAAAACTAAACATAGGCAATCGGTGTTGCCGAGTAGCTCATCAACTAAGGAAAAGCACTAAATTCCGAACCTGTTTGACGATCAACATTAAATTAGTTATGTGGAATAATAATGATGTCCTTAACAATGCTATGAGTCTCTTGTTTCAGGATCAACATTAAATTAGTTATGTGAAATAATGATATCTCTAACAGTGCTGTGAGTCTCTTATCTTAGGATGCGAGCATAACCACCAATGCCCCAATTATCTGAAAAGATGTCTTTTACGACCCATTAGGTGATATCATACCCAACAACCACCTTTGCATGTTCATATAATCTTAATGGAATCCCATGATGATAAATCCAATATACTTTGGCTTGCGGTGTATAGATAACCTGTTAAATTTCATTAGCATTTAAATAGATGTATTTTCAAAATTATTGAATTAAATTATACGTATAACTAATAATTATCAAAATATTTCAAGCATCAAAAGCTGATCTAACTACAAAGCTCATAACAATTGACGATCAACATCAAATTAGTTGTGGAAAAACGATGTCCCTAACAATGTTATGAGTCACTTATTTTACGATCAACATTAAATTAGTTATGTGGAATAACGATATCCCTAACAATGCTATGAGTCTCCGATCTTAGGATGTAAGCGTAACCACCAAGGCCCCAATTATCTGGAAAGATGTCTCTTACAATGTGCCGCCTTAACTCTTATGGGTCCACCGCGGGATCCCAGTATAGTCAGATCTTATACTCATTACTCAATATGATATTTAGGAATTAATATAACAAGCGGCATCATTTTTTTATGAATATTATATTTTTTATAGTTTTCTTTATTTTTCATTTTTAAAAAATAAAATATTTATTCATTAACTCGTATCGTGATTTTTTTTTTTAAGGAACTCGTATCGTGATTTTGTCTTTAAATTTTTTCAGAGTTCTTTAATAATCTTATATTATTTTTATTTTTATTTTTTTTTTGAACGGTCTGTATCTTTTATTTTTGGTCATATAAAACTTGAAAAACAGATTAATACTAATAATTACCAACATTTTGTGTTCAAAGACATAATGGAAAATAAACAGCACATACACGTGTATACGTTAGACATGACACGCGATGGACCATAACGTGCGCACATGTTCAAAAGGAATATTAATCAACAAGTACCCGTGGTAAATTTTTATGGGGAAAATCCATTAGATAAACTTAAATTTATCAAGAGAACCGACCATATACGAATTAGGTATAAAATATAAGGGTGTAGTTTTAATGGTTATTGTAATATTTATTCATCAGTGTGTATTTGTAACACCTCAAAGTATTAAATGAGATTAATTGAGGTAATTAAGATTTATTAGTGTGTCTAATCTGATTTAATTAATTAGATTTTGATTAATAAATGTTTCTGATGTGTAATTTAAATAGTTCCAAAGTATTTAAATATTCTCAGTAATTTTATTTTAACCCAGAAGTGTGCATGGGCGTATTTTTGGACAGTTCTTTTAAAATGTTAACACTTGTCCATTTTATTTTTTTTTTCTTTTTCCTTTCTTTCTTTTCGTTTCTCTTTCCTTTCCTGTGCACTCACACACACACACACCCACACACACACACTCTCTCTCTCTCTCTCTCTCTCTCTCTCTCTCTCTCTTCACTCTCGTTCTCACTCTCTCGTTCCCTCACTCTCTCTTTCTCTCTTCCATTTCACTTCAAAATCAACCCGGATTTCAAACCAAAGGAAAGTTTCAAGAAGTTTCAACGTCAAGAGAAGGATTCAAGGTAAGATTTCTGAAAAACCTCTCTTGAAATCTCAAGTTTTCGGATTGAAAAGCTTGTTTCTGGCTCGAAATAGATTTTGATGGATATTGAGTAAAACCATGGTAGAAATTGGAGATCTTGTGTTCTTTAGACTTGTTTTAGGACCTAGAACCCGGATCTAATGGTTTTCCTTTGATATATGTCGATTTGGAACTGAAATCGCAGGTTTTTGGGCTGATTCCGCGGGTTTTCTTCGCTTGTTGTTCTTCACAGGTCGACCTGTCAATCTACTGGACCGGTCGACCGGACTGCATTAGGCTACCGGTCGACCGGTGGTGTTGCACTGCTCTGTCACCGGTCGACCGGTGTACACGGGGTTTGACCCTGTTTGGTATGAAATTACTGTTTTGACCTCTGTTTTCGGGGAGGACCCAAATTAGCTTCATTTAGGGACCTAGAGTCGATGGATTAACATCTTTAATCCATGTTTTGGAATTAAAACCCTTAGAATTATGATTTAAAACATGAAATTGATAATCGCACACTAATAGGAAATCAAAGGGATATGATTGAGTCTGAACTACTTTAGGAATGAGATTGGAATCCTAAAGTATTGTCGTGTAACAGTGATAGCTGAGGACTCGGATTGAGTGGCTTGAGGAAGCGGAAGCTGGAATCGTGCACCGCTAGCCACATGTTTGATAATCACGAGGTATGATTTCTTACCATTTTCCTTGTGAGCCTGATTTCCAAAAAGAGTTTTGGCCTTACAAATGTTTTAAAGAAAGGGGCTTGTTTGCGAAAGAAAAATATCTTAAAAACGGTGGCTTGTTGTAGTTCACGGAACCCATGGCTTGTTGTAGTTCATAGGGACCCACGGCTTGTTGTAGTTCGTGGGATTATAATATCGATTTCATAATGTTTAATGAATAATTTCTTAATGAAAGAGATCTTGTGAACCAGTAAGCCCGCTGATGGCCTAGATAGAATGTGGAGAGTGCATCCTCAGGGGCAGAACCCGAAACTTGGCCCGGGAAGGCTTATGCACTTGGTTGTGTAAGTAATTTGTATAAATTACTTGCTGATGCCTGTAATACGGTAATTTCTAGTTTATATTCCTTTCAAAAAAAGGATGTGAGGTTCCGGCTGTTGTGTTAGAACTGAATGTCTATATTTATTCATTTATTTACTTGTTTATTTATTTACCAAGTTATTTCAAAATTTATCATACTAGGCCTTTCGCTCACGTTTTATTGTTTTAAAAATGTTAACTCCTCCCAGGAGACTCTATGAGCAGTGTGGAGTAGCTGAGTTGCTACCACCTGATTTTGGAGAGGATTGTGTCATCCTCCCTGTATACCAATGTAAGAATTTGTAAATCCTGTAAACTCATGTACTTGGATTACTAGACTGTGGATGATGTCTGTAACTGTAATAATCTATTTACATGTCATGTATGTATGGTGACGAGATCCTGTGGAAAGATCCTGTAGTTCGTTTTAATTCAGTGTGTGGGGCTCGTTGGGTATTTTCTTTATTATTATCATGCGTTTAACTCTAATCGAGCCTCCACGTCACCACCCCTGATCCGGGGCGTGACAATATTATTGTTTTAAGAGCAACTCTTATAAA